GGGTTAAGATCCCCTTACCGGTCATCTTTAAAAAAAAAAAAATATATATATATATATATATATTTGTTTGGCTTTATTATTACTTTTTGAAATCTTCCATGAGAGTTATTTGTTATTGCCACATTAGGAGAAAATTTCATCATGCACTGTATTTTTCATTTTTTCAGGGATTTGACAAAGAAGAACTTTTAGAGTGTATTCAACAGCTTGTGAAATTGGATCAAGAATGGGTCCCGTATTCAACATCTGCTAGTCTGTATATTCGTCCTACATTCATCGGAACTGAGGTGGAAACTGACTGTATATTTTTGGGGTACTTTGGTGGGCAAGTTATCATTTATTCCTGTTTGAAACTTCAAGTATGTAGTTTGAAATAGCACCCAATGGCATCATTAATGAGTCCTTTCTCCTGATTATTGAGACTAGGGGTAGCAAACATTACCTGTAAAAGGCCAGATAGTCAATATTTTAGGTTTTGTGGGCCCTATGGTTTTTGTCACAATTACTCAACTCTGCCATTGTAGTACCGTTTTGTTCTGTTTTTTGGCAGCTGGCCTGAATGGGGATCCTTGGTGTTATCAGCACCACACTGTAATCAAGTGAAGTAACCAGACAACCCCTTTGTAGCACTAAAGCAGCCGTAGACAGTGCATAATGAGTAAATGAATGAGAAGACAGTGATGCTGTTTGCCTTCTCTGATCAAGACTAGTCATTATTTCCTAAGTTTACACGTGTAATGCCTCCCATCATGGCAGCACTTCTCCCAGGTGTTGGTAATGGTTTTGAAATTCTGGGGAGGGAGAACTGCTACTTTTAATTTTCATTTTCCTGAACTCTTGGGATTATTTGGTAAGGAGTGGGGGTGGAGGATCTCCTTCCCACATAGAAAATGATGAAAATAATGTTCACAGTGGGAGGTGAAGGGAAGGAACTTAAAGAGCTGAAACACCAGGTTTAAAGGACATGGCCTTAAGATCTCCTGGTAGGTCATAGGCTCTNGACTAGTCATTATTTCCTAAGTTTACACGTGTAATGCCTCCCATCATGGCAGCACTTCTCCAAGGTGTTGGTAATGGTTTTGAAATTCTGGGGAGGGAGAACTGCTACTTTTAATTTTCATTTTCCTGAAGTCTTGGGATTATTTGGTAAGGAGTGGGGGTGGAGGATCTCCTTCCCACATAGAAAATGATGAAAATAATGTTTACAGTGGGAGCTGAAACACCAGGTTTAAAGGACATGGCCTTAAGATCTCCTGGTAGGTCATAGGCTCTTTGTTGGGTGCCCTTTCAAAAGAAGGCATGGACTTGATATGCCTGGAGTGGCCAAGGCCATTGAGTGCATGAGTATGTTAAAGTATAAAGATGGTGTCACTTCTCTTCTGTATCTACTAGGCAGCTGTGGCCTTCTGGAGAGTGGGTGATATTGAGGGATAATTGATGGGAGGAGATGGAATGTGGGTGGCAGATGAAAGCGATGGGGCGTATGGAGATTTTTAGGAATAGGGAGAGTGAGATAGAGCTCTTTTGTTATAGTCTAGCCATTCTGTTCTCTGCTAGATTATTGTCTGGTTACCAGGTTTTCTACTAGATTGTATGAAAGCAAAAAGTTGGGAAATATGTAGGATCACAGAATAAACTAAATGGTCCTTTGATGCCTTTTGAAGGACTGTTGAGAATCTTGATAATGAATTTCATGAATTGCAGTTTCCCTAGTAAGTTTTAAAGAATTTGGGACAATTTTAAAAGTCACCTGAAGTTTTTGGCATTTTCATGTTATTGAATATTTTAATATTATTTTTTAACTTTGTGATAGGAAGAAGCAGCTTTTAAGGTTGGTTGAGACATTGTTACTAATCTCAAAGCTCTACCTTTCAGTTATTGTGAGATACTTTCCCAGTGTAAGACCTGATTCTTCAAATAGTTTGTTGACAGTTTTTCTCATGAATGGATGTTGGATTTTGTCAATTGCTTTTTCTAAATCTCTTGAAATGATTATGTGGTTTTGTCCTTTGTTTCATTATTAATGAATTATATTAATTCATTTTTGGACCTTATATTCTTGATCTAAATCCTACTTATCATGGTGAATCATCCATTTTATATCTTGCTCTATTTAGTTTGCTAATATTGTGTTACGAATTTTTGTGTCAGTGTTCACAAAAGATATTGATCTGTAGTTTTCTAATATATCTAATTCCATTAATTTTTAATACTCCCTGAAATCCTATGATCTAGAGTTAGACAAGATCTTAAATCTGATTCCGTAGTTATAATAATCATCTCTGTTAGGAGGTCCTCAACTTTTTGCATTTGGATCACCCAGGTGTTATATAAAATAAAAATATTGAATCCAATCCTCAGAGATTCTGATTGTGTAGATCTGGATTGGTGATTCTGATGCTCACCCAAATTCAAGAACCTCTGTCACAAAAGCTCCACCCAGTGGTTCTTTCAGTACACCGTTATCAACTTACCTACTTGATCATGCTTTGGACTTCAAAATCAACAATTTCTTAAAAATCTACTTTCTGGGGGCCGGCCTGGTGGCGCACTGCTACAGTGCGCCGCTTGGGAG